GGGGGGTGCCGGCACCGGGGGGGGGGGGCCGGCACCGGGGCTCTTCTGGGGGCTTTCTTGGGCCGGTGGGGAGTCCCGGGGCCCGGTTCGGTTCCACCCGGTTCGGGCTTGCCGTTCGGGCCGGTTTCGACCGGCCGGTTCGGTTCGAACCGCCCGGTCCGGTTTCAGCCGGTCCGGTTCGGGCTCCGGTTCGGGCGGTTCGGTTGCAGGAGCCGCCGGTTCACGGTTACCAGTTCGGTTCGGACTCTTCTTGCTCTGGCCCCCAACAAAACTGTCCAAGAGGGAGCCAAGACGACCCCAGAGGCGCCCAAGACGGCCCAAGGGGGCCCCAAGACGGCCCCAAGAGGGGGACCACGAACCGAAAAGTCTAGCCTTTCGCCTCAAGACGCTCCCAGGAGGCCCCCAGAGCCCCCCAAGAAGCCCCAAGAGGCGTCCCAAGAGGCCACCAGGAGGCCAAAATCATTGATTTCCGATTGGAACGCGTACATTTTTAGCATGCACGGCTTTTCGACTTTCATGGCGTTGACGACGGTCCAAGAGGCCCCCAAGACCGCCCCAAGACGGCCCAAGAGGCCCCCAAAACGGCCCAAGAGGGCCCCAAGACGACCCAAGAGGCGCCCAAGACGGCCCAAGAGGGCCCCAAGACGGCCCCAAGAGGGGGACCACGAAACGAAAAGTCTAGCCTTTCGCCCCAAGACGCTCCCAGGAGGCCCCCAAAGCCCCAAGAGGCCCCCCAGAGGCCCCCAAAAGGGCTCCAAAAGGGCCCCAATAGGATTCCCAAGAAGGCCCAGAGGCGCCAAATGAAGAGCGATCGGCAACGCAAAGAGCTCTTCATACCAAGGCTCCCAAGAGCGAACGGTGACGTAAACAAGCTGATAAGACGAAGGGTCCCAGCAGAGAGCGGTGACGTAACAAGTTCCTGACACCAAGGCCCAGCCAAGGCTCAGGAACGGGCGGCAACGCAACAATCTCTGAACACCGAGGCTCCCAAGAGCGAGGGGTGACGTAACAAGCTCTCAACGCCAAGGCTCCCAGTACGAGCGGTGGTGTGAGTAATTTCGGTCAAGATTCTGAAGCGCTCTGTCCGTTTCCGTGCCGGCCCCAGGTCCAATGGCCGTCGGCCCATCCCGGCACCGTGCCCACGTTGTTGGTCAAAGGCCTCCAGGCTGTTCGTTGGCATGTCGTCGGAAGCCTCTTGGGGGCCGCTTTGATGCATCTCAGGGGCAGTTTGGGAGTCGTTGAAAGCCTCCGTCTGGGGGCCTCCTGGGTCCCCTTCGTGTCTTTTGGGGGGGCCTTTAGGGCCTCCTGGAGGTTTCTGTTGAGCGGAAGGCTGTGATTTTGGGTTGGTTCGTGCTCCCCCTCTTAGAGGCCCTTCGTGGGGCTGTCCGATGGACTCGGGCCACCTTGGAGCGTCGGGAGCTCGAAAAGGGAAGGACCCCAAACACATTGAGAAACCCGAGGAGCACCACCGGTTTTGGCCTCCCGGGGCCCTCGAAGATTTCCTGGGCCGTCTTGGGCGTCCTGGGCCGCTCGTGCGGCGATGCGGGGCCCCCCTTGGGCCGTCTCGTCCGCCTCCTGGGGCCCCCCTCGGGCCGGGGAAGGCAATGACAGCGACAGTGCTCGGCTCGGGGAGCCCCCGGGGGCCGCGCGGCGAGCCCAGGGAGGTACAAATTGGCCTTGGACGGGGGAGTAACGTTGGGCATGCTGTGTGTGAGGGAAGGTGGACGCCGTCCCCTCCCCTCCACCAGTGTCCAAAAGGCCACTGAACACCTGTTCATGACGGTCACCCTGCCGGCTCCACGCAGTCGGCGCCGGCTCTGCGAAGGCGGCCCCAGTCCCTGAGCGGGGGCACTGCTCTGTGCAGCAGCAGTAGTGCCTGCTCTGCTCTGCTCTGCTCTGTGCAGTAGTGCCTGGGGCCGCCTCCCAGCCTGCTGGGTTCTCTGTGGACTTGGGGTCTGGGCCCCCGGGGCGGAGGACTCAGGCTTGATGGGGCCCGGCCGAGGGCCTGAGGGCACTCGAGCTCGTGCCACAGGGCACGGTGGCGGGTTTCAACATCGTGTCGAAACTGCTGGGGTAATTCGTGTGTTGTGCATCTTGGAGGCCTGGGGGTCCTTTCGGGGGTCCTCTGGGCGCGTCTCGGGAGCCCGTGGCCGCTTTGATGACCATGTAGGCGAGGATGCTAGAATAGCACCGAAGCCACTAGCAAATGAACAAGAAGGGTCTCACCAGGTCTTCTTGCGGCCTCATAGGGCCATCGCGGGGCCATGTTGTGGACCCACATTGGAGGGGTCTCTAGGAGCTGTCCTGAGGCTCTCTTGGGCCGTCTGAAGCCCCTTCGGGGGAGCGTCCCGAAGCTCTTTCTTGCCCGTTTTCTCTTTGAGGCCCTCTTTGGCTTCTCGTGGGCCGTGATTGGGGCGATTTGGAGGGGCCTCCTGGGCCATCATGGACGCTCTGAAGGCCGCGAGGGCGAGCATGCCAACATCGCACGCAAGCCCCGTGAAGACATACCCTCTGGGAGGGTTCTTTGGGAGTCTCTGGGCGCCCAAGAAGCTCGTCCTCGGTCCTAGTGAGGCCCATACCAGGAAACACCCTGCTTGTCTCCAGGTTGCCCTGGGTTTCCTGGTGGAAAGCGTGACGCTCCCATACCAAATTCGGGCCGGACGAAAGGGATGGATTGGGAAAGGGGGGGTTACGAAATTTGCTGCATGCAGCTGGTTTCGGCCTCACCGAAAGGCCCATTCCTCGATACATGGCTGCCTCCGGCGCCGGGAGGCGCCGGGAAAATCAGCTACGTGAGCCGATTCTCAACCCCCCCTTTGCTATCCCGTCTAATTTCGCCCGACCCGACAGATGTCAGTGGACGCCCTGGGGTCTGAGGGTTGGGCTTCCTGTGGTCGGGCCCCGGCTGCAGTGAGGGCCTGGTGTTTGGGCCGTCGGGCGAGGCCGAGTGGGCCCTCGCGTGCGCCCCTCCCCGTTCGCGTCCTGCCTCGTTTTTCAGGAGGAGAAAAAACACACAGACAGAATCAATCGTCGAGTCCCAGGACAAGATGGGAAAATATGGGAAGTGGGGGGGAAGACGAAAACCTAGAAAATATGTGAAAAGGCGCTCCAGAGAGGGCCTCACCGCCTTCGAGGCTCGGAGGGGTTGCTGTCGTCGCCTCCTCGGCGGGGGGCGGCGGAGGGGTCGCGGCAGCCCGCGGAAGTGGCACGAGGATCCGGAGGAGGAAAAACCCAGACCCCCTCGAGCAATGAAAAAATCATGACGGGAGGTTTTTCCTAATTTTCGGCCTCGGGGGGCCCTCACCGGGCCTCGGGAGCGTCAAAAAACGACTCAGGATGCAAAGCAGGTCATGGGGAAAGGGTCGGGACCTCTGGGGGTCGACGTAATGAAAAAATCATTACGTCGGGGGTCTGGGAAGGTACCTATGCCGCTGCCCCGCGGCCGTCTTCCCTTTGGTTCGGCCTCCCGGGAGGCCCTCGTCGCCACCGCCGGATTCGCCCCGAGATCCTGGCCGGAACGCTCCCCGGGAGAGGTCCGGGGAGTGGCGGCATCGGTATTTCCTGGTTTCCCCCCAAGGATGCTTCCGCCGGCGGGAGCCAGCGGAAGCGGGGCGGAAGCCACAACGTGCGCCCCCGAAAGACGACAACGTGTTTGTGTTCAGAGTTTCTGGCATCGGCCAGGTCGGCTCGTCGTCCTCGCCCTCGTTCAGTCGCACTTAGTGCCACCGCCCCCTCCCCGGCCAGGACCAACTCTTCATCCTGGGTCGTCCTCAGAAGAACCAGTGATCGTAGTATCGGGCACACGCTAACATGGGGTAAGGATCCATGGATCTGGTGCGATCACTGAAGCCAATGCCGCTTAATTTGACGACTCCCACCCTCCCAGATCTTGCCATCAAGGCGACGTCAACATCTCTCTCGCTCTCTCTCTCTTTCTCTCCGCGCGTGCAGCCCGTGTACCTCGTGATGACGAGCGGACTTCCTCGGCGCGGCCCGGCTCTCTGCCTGGAGACTCAGGCTCGGCGCAGTGCCGGGCGTCGGACGGTCATGGAACCTTTTTGGGGGAGCGCCGTCACTCTGCGAGTCTTGTGTTGTTTTTTTTGCTGTTGGTCCAGTGAGCTCCAGCTGCGCCCTGCGGCGCCGTCCCCCCTCCCTCTCGTGCTGCTGCCGCTCCTCCTTCCCCCCTTTCCCTGCCCTGGCTCTGCCCTCCGCCCCCGATCCCTGGCCCTGCTGCTGGTCTTCCCTGCCTCCCGCCTGCTTCCCTGCCCCCTCCGCCTCCCTCCTCGTCCCTCCCCCTGTCGCTGCTCCCTCTCCTTCTTCCCCACCTTCTGTTGGCCCAGGATCATCGTTGCTCGTCTCCGCCTCCATCCTGCGCGTCAGCCCTCCCTTCACAGCTCCTCCTCGTCGCCACCCCGCCTGGATTAGGGCGTACAAGCTCGTGGTGCAAGGTGAGCTGTACGACCACTTCAGCTCGCTCGTCGCGGTGCTGCGGCCTCGACTCCTGGTCCGAGTTGGCGCCCTGTCGTGGACCCAGCGACGCCGTTTTCCCGGAGAGGGCGGAGGGTCGGGGTTCTCCACTGGTATATAACCGCGTTCCCTGCTGACATCTTTCGGGGTGGGCCGGCCGAATTAGCGTCGATCACAGACAACGTGAGGTGCCGTGCTCAGTCGAGCACACGCGTTTTGCGCGCGCCTGCTCCCGGAGAGTGCGCCCCCCTGGCCCCCCGCCAGATCAGACTGTCGACAAGCAGCGGAGTCCGCAGACAGACCCTTCCTTTGCCCGGGGAAGGTGCTGCGGAGCGTTTGGCGCCAAGTTTCGTGGGAGGGGTGCGCAAATTTGCAGACGACGCAGTGGAACCTTCGGATTGGCGGAGTTGGGGCGTGCCCGCTCGAGGATTGGCGCGGCCCGCGTTCGGGACCCGCCTTGGGGGAGCGCGGAGGCCCCCCTGAGGCCCCGGAAGCCCCTGGGCGCCTCTGCATGCACTGGGAGCAGCGACGCTGCGTTACTCTGAGAGGGACTGGAGCCCGGAGAGCGCGGGCGCAGCATGATTCACCGGGACCGCGGCCCTGGGAGCGGGGGCCTGTGACTTGTCCTTGATTCGCGCGTGCCGCCTCCTCCTCCTCTCCCTCCCCTGCCTCCCTGCACCCCCAGGGGGCTGCTGGGACGCACCCCTATATAATGGATGGAGGCCCCCCCGTCATATATCCCCGCGGTTGGCCCCAAATGTTCGGTCCACTCGAGAACCCCACAACGTCAGGGATTGGGAACGGCATGCCCCCCGTTACACCTGTTGCGCTCCCCTCTTCCTCCTCTACCTGCCGAAGAAGAAACAGCTGCACAGACATGAAACCTCAGGAGCTCCGGGCGGAATTCTCCTCCTCCTCCTCCTCCTCCTCCTCCTCCTCCTCCTCGGATCGGCGCTGGGTCTTCCTCCCTGGAGCGCGGAGCGCGCCAGGGCCGGCGCCGGTGGCGCCGCCAGGGGGGCCGAGCGCCGATCCAAAAGTTTATGTTTGTGCAGTTGTTTTCGGGGGAAAGCAAACCTACCTCGCTTTTGACCTCCTTCGCTTCCAAGAGATACCAAACGATGCCAAATTGCGGCCTGTACTGGTCAGGCCGCTTGACGAGGAGGCGCGTGGTATGGCTTGGTTTTGCATGGAAGCGAAAGCGGGGGAGGTAATCCACGCTCTGATGTTTGTTCATCCAATCAGGCCTCGGGCGTACTTCCTTATCCGATTGATCAGCGCTCGCCCTCCCCACCCACCCACTGCCTCAGAGTTTTCATGCTGCTGAAGCTTCAGTATCACCGAGGGGGCCAGACTCAATAGCGATGTGGCATTTTTACGGGACGTTCAGTCCTTACCTGAGCCACGTGCCAGGCGGACCAGGCGGCCAACGTACGAGTTCACCTCGCTTGTAAGACTAAGCAGTCGGGTGGATCTTGACTGCAGTTTAGCCTCCCTACTCTGGCATCCCTCATTCTCTCTTCCTTTCCGCATCTCATCTACCCACTTTCTGTACTCACTCCGACCTCTCCTTGTCTGCACCAGCCCACTTCCCTCTATTTCCCCCCGTGTCCTGTCTCCGTCCTGACTTCCTCGGTCTTCCCCTTCGTTTCCCGCATATTCATCTTCCCCCTCCACTCGGCCATCCCCTGTCCCTGGCCGTTCCGTCCTCCCCTTGATTCGCTTTCCTATTCTTTTCTCCGGCCCTTTCTTGTGAACTTATTCTCGCCATCCCTTCCTCGCCACGTTACGTTATTCATTACAGTCGAGCATCTGATCAAGAAGCCTCCTCCCGAAAAGCTGGGCCAGCGTTTCTTAGCCGACTTGCCGGAATGCTGGCCTAGTCTCTTGAGCACGTTCGCCGTCCAGTGTCAACAGTAGTAATACTTACTACTGTTGACGCAGGCGCAGTTTAAGAGGTTTCCGGGAAGCTGGCCCAGATGTATTGGATGATAACCGTCTTGGTCATATGTGATCATGTTTTGTGCATTTACTCCCGCCATTCCTTCCTTTATCTTCCCCCCTTGGTCCGTCTTCCCCTCCTCATACTCCTCACCCTGTGTCTCTTGCTTCTCCTGCTCCTCCTACCATTATGTCTTCCCCTCAGCCTTCTCCATCACATTTCCCTGTCCCGCCCCCAGCTGATTACTGATGCTCCTCTCGCTTGGCCTCCACTGGTTCTCCAGAAATCATGTTTGCCCCATCTCTACCCTCTCTCTCTCTTTCTCTTTTTTCTTGTTGTTTTGTCTCTCTCTCTCTCTCTCTCTTCTTCTTTCTCTCTCTCTCTCTCTCTCTCTTCCTCCCGTTTGAGCACTGTTAGCCAGCGTGGATCCAAAACAGTGGATGACTGCCGTCTATGCGGTGCAATCGAGGTGGCGCAAAGCAGTGCAGCACGAAGCACAGTAAAGCAAATCAGAGCAGTGCGATGCAAAGCAGTGCCAAGCGCCGCACGATGCAATGCGAGGCAGAGCCTGCGGTCCGAAGGGTGTGTCTCTGTGTGTCTGTGTGTCTGCGTGTCTGTGTCTGTGTCTGTGTCTGTGTCTGTGTCTGTGTCTGTGTCTGTGTCTGTTTGTGTGTCTGTGTCTGTGTGTCTGTGGGTGTGTGTTTGTGTGTCTGTGTGTCTGTGTGTCTGTGTCTGTGTGTGTCTGTGTGTGTCTGTGTGTGTCTGTGTGTCTGTGTGTCTGTGTGTCTGTGTCTGTGTGTGTGTGTGTGTCTGTGTCTGTGTCTGTGTGTGTGTGTGTGCAGCCTGGGCGGCGGCCACGGGCCCGCGGGCGGGCCCCTCCCACGGGGAAGCCTCTCGGCCTTCGGCCGCTCGGGGGCGGGGGCGGGCCCGGCCCCCTCTTTTGGGGAGGAGGGGCGGGGCCCCCGTGCAGTCGGGGGGCGGCCAGGAGGGGGGCGAGGACGAAAGGGGGGGGGGGGGGATAATCATGGCGGGGGCCTCCTCTCCTCCCTCCTCCTCCTCCTCCTCCTCCCTCCTCCTCTCCTCCTCCTCCTCCTCCTCCTCCTCCTCCTCCTCCTCCCCCCCCCCCCCTGGGCCGCGCACATGCCGCTGGCCATGATTTGCGCCCCCTCTCTTGGACGCCCCCCTCTTGGCCGACCCCGATGCAGGGGATCAGAGGCGAGCGACGACAGGGGCGAATAGCCCAGGGGAGAGCAATGCATGTACTAATTGTTCATGTCTAATTCTTCAAACTTTCCTGGGTTTTTTGGGGGGCCCAGATCCTTTCATGTCTGATTGTTCCATCCCGGGCCTCTTCCTGGCCACTAGGGGGCCAGGAACAATTAGAGACGAGCACAATTAGAAATGGGCACGATTAGAAATGAAAGACGTGTATTCGGGTACGCCGATGATCTATGTCTCCGGAAAGGCTCTCGGGCGAATGCGTGTAATGCCCGCCCCTGGGCTATTCGCCCCCATCGTCGCCGCCGAGTGGAGACCCGTGTCAAGGAACACCATGCCTGCCTCCAGGGTGCCCTGGATGTCGATGGTTTGGCCATGGGAAGCGTGGCGTTTCCCACACCAGCGATCAAGGGACGTCCTGGGGTCTCAGGGTGGGGCTTCTTGTGGAAGGTCTCTCGTGGACTGGCCCCCATTGTAAGTGCAGGCGCCGTCTTGGGAATCTCGGTTCCAGCCTCAAGTGTGATGCGGCGTACGTCGTTCCAGGTGCTGCCAGCTGGTACCGTTGCCCCTTGGCAGCCTTCGGCCCTCGTTCCTCCTGGGTCGGAGATGCCCCTCTGGCGAGGCAGCGAGGGCCCAGCGGGCATTTCTCCAGTACTCGCGCGCTCTCGTCCACCTCGGTGCCAAACCACTGCCGGCAGAGCCCGCAGGCGGGGCATGCCTGGCGGTGTGAACGACGAGGCCCGGCACAAAAAATACTCTATGGTTCGCTAATTCTGAGCTCTGCAGACTCCTCCAGTGGCTTACTGCTCCAGATGGGAAGCAATGACAGGGCGAGACGTCTGCTCCGATTTCCGCCCCTCCGCCCCGTCCTGGCAGCCCGCAGCGGAGGACATGGGCAGCGGCCCAGGTGACGGCGCCGCGTCGGCGTCCCCCTGCACTCCCGCCATGCGTGGTCCCGGACGGAAAGTGATCGTGAGGTCCCCTCCCCTGGGCAGCAGGGCACCTTACCTTGCTCGCATGCCAGTGATTCTGAGGCCAGCGTCGGGAGGCACTCTCTGGGGGTGACGCGGGGCAGGGCATTCCTGAGAAGATGGCTCCGCAATGGCACCGCAAGTGCAGCGCACTGGACGTGATGAGGGCAGTTTCGCTTCGGCGTGTGGTTCTGATGGGATATGGCATTTGGGATCCGAGAGCGCACCCATCGCTCATGGAGCGTTGGCATTGGCGCGTCGTCACGGGGAGCTGGTATCGAAATGAGCAAGGTCTGACGTGTATGCGCAATAAGCGAGCTCAGTACTAAACGCACTACGATGGCACTGCTGGAGACGCTTCCTTAGACCGCGGCTACTAGCGTGGCGCAGCCTGATGACATTGGCGGCGATGGTGCATGTGGCACAGGGCATCTACACCCTTCGACCGCTGAGGTTACGGTATGTTCCCCCACTCTCTCTCAGTCTCTCTTTCCAGCTCTCTCTCTCTCTCTCTCTCTCTCTCTATATATATATATACATCACCTCCCCCTCTCTCTATATATACTTCACTCTCTCTTTCATGTGAGGCGTTCCAAACGGGGCCTTGCCTGACAGGATCGAAGGAGTTGCCATCTGTTCCTCGGCGGTTTGCGGCGGAAGCATGCAGAAGGCAAACAAGGCCGCCTCCACTGGCGGAAGCCGGCAGAAGAGAGGCGAAGCCGGCGGAAGTAAAAGATGCGTCCCCAAGAAATGGGTTTATGGTTTTCGGATCTTACCATATACATCTGTGTCACGTATATATATATATATATATATACATACATATGTTTATATGTATGTATGTATGCATGTATGCATGCATGCATGCATGTATGTATGCATGTATTTATGTATGTGTGTATGTGTGTATGAATATGTGCATGCATGTATATATGTATAGGAATGTGACTGGCTGTATGCATGCATGCATGCATGTATGTATGTTTGTATAGGTGTGTGCATGTATGTACGGATGCATGTATGTATGTATGCGTGCATGCGTGCATGCATGTATGTATGTATGTATGTATGTATATTTGTATGTATGTATGCATGCATGTATGTATGCATGCATGCATGCATGCATGCATGGATGGATGTGTGTATGTGTGTATGTATGTATGTGTGTGTATGTATGTATGCATGTATGTATGTATGTATGTATGTATGTATGTATGTATGTATGTATGTATGGTTGTATGTATGGATGGTTGTATGTATGCATGTATGTGTGTATGTATGTATGTATGTATGTATGTATGTATATATGTATGTGTGTATGTGTGTATGTATGCATGTATGTATGTATGGATGTATGTATGTATGTATGTATGTATGTGTGTATGTGTGTATGTGTGTGTATGTGTGTGTATGTACGGACGTATGTATGCATGTATGTATGTATGTATGTATGTATGTATGTGTGTGTATGTATGCATGTATGTATGTATGTATGTATGTATGTATGTTTGTATGTATGTGTGTATATGTATGTATGTATGTATGTATGTATGTATGTATGTAGGTAGGTAGGTAGGTAGGTAGGTAGGTAGGTATCGATGCCCCGTGCTCTGGCAGCTGGCGTACCCCACAAGCGTGGCACCCCCCTTGGCCTCTGCAGCTGGTCTGTGTCTTGATGGAGCCCCTACTGCCCCCCAGGTCGAGGCTCTGGTGGTCGCCTATCATGTGTACAATACCGGTCGCAGACTTCCGCCGCCCCCATCACCCTCTGAGGAGGAATGGGCTGGCCATCTTCACATCATTCGCCGAGCGGCTCTCGCCCTCGTCGAGCTAACTCGTGCGCCTGCGTCGGCTGTTCCCTGGAGGATCTGTGAGCGCCCCCAAGCTACGCTATATATATATATATATATATATATGTGTGTGTGCACGTGTATATATATATATATATGCATGTAAATATAACCACATTTTATAGATGTGTTTATATGTGTAACCCAATAAATCCGTAGGAACCCTGGCGGGTTTGCGTGGACCCCTGGTTCCCCGAGCTCCCCGAGGGCCTCGAAAGGGCACCCGAGAGCCACCCGAGAGCCCCCAAACGGCGCCAGAACACTCTTGAAGAGCTCCCATGTGGCCCATGAGGGTCCCCAGACTATCCAAAACCGCCCTCGTGCGGCCCAGGCTGCTCCCCTGACGGCCACAACGGCTCCAAGAGGGCCCCAGGGGACCCCAGCGAGGGCCTCAGGAGACCCTCGAGAGAGCCCCATCCAGCAAAAGTCGCCACCTTGGGGAAACTGACGTTTTCAGCAAACTCGCCTTTTGGGTCGTCCCCGCTCAAAAAGCTCCCAAGAAGGCCCCCAGAGGGCTCATGACGGCCCCGGGACGGTCCACGAGGCCCCCAA